AAGTTTACACTAGATGACAATTCTAACCGTTAAACCCGATAACCGTCCGAATGGAACAGATTTGGATATGGAAGTTTGGGTATATTCTGGATGTGGGGAAAAACCGTTTATATTATTCGGTTATGGTTTTGGATATGGTTATAGAGGTCCCAAAACCGTATCCATAACTGAATCCGACCCGATTCGTAAATAATATAATTTACACACACACACACACACACACACACACACACACATGTTTGTATTTGTATATCCATTATTCACCAAACCATTACCTTGAGAATACAAAAGTTGCATTTTGTAGGAAAGTAAAGTTTTGAATCAAAATTAATGCAAACTCAATGGTGCTTATGAGAGATATCAAGGACAAGCTAACTGCATCAGTGTTCTAATTTTTATACTCAAATCAACAAGATCCATTCATTGGATCATTTTATACATCAAATGTTTAATGACGAAATTAATATCTACTAACTTATAATGTCCCAATTGAACGAATATATTTTTTGTATTGACAAAGATGAATATATCTGTTAACCGATGGGAAATCTGTTACCCAGTGGATATGATTATGGATAATACCCGATAGTTAGTTTGCGGTTATGAATATGGTTAATTTTCGTGGTTATAGGGATGGACATAACATTTTTATCCTCAAACCGAACCGTTGTCATCCCTATCCATGCATGCAAACAGATCACCAAAAATAACGTATATATGTGGATAGTAATTTATTATATAATTAATGAATTCATAGGTTTTAACGTGATTTTGCCACAAGCTAGGCCGAACTCTTTTCAAATTGGGCCAGATGAATTTGGGAAGCCGTTTATAAAAATAAACAAGTGATTCTTTGTACACCTAATTTTTATTTTTGAACACCCTAATTCTTTGGACACCCATAATTAAATTTAGGGTTAATTTTAGTTTACTACTTTGAAGTTTCTTGGTTTTCAACATTTAATACATCACATTTTTTTCATCCTAGAGTGGTACCTAAAGTCATAATTCTGGCACACTTTCATACATCGGTTAAATTTTCTGTTAAAATGATTATGCGCCACGTGGATATTAAAAATTTTAAAAATTAAGAATTAAAATAATTTTTTTTTTTTAAATCTAGGGCCTATTCTACCCAACCCCGCTCTCACCCAGCTCTCCCTCCCTTCACAACTCCCAGATCTGCAACTCCCTCTTAAAACCACCAACCCTTATCAAAGGCAACCACATATTCGCCTGATTCTGTTCCCACTAAACCAAAATCCCAATACGATTTCTTCAATTTTATACAAATTCAATTTTGATTCCTAAAACAGATGGAAAAAGATTTGCCTTTTCCCCAGTTTTTTTTTTTTTTTTTTTTATGGGTTTTTTGTACTTTGTAGAGATGAACCCTAAGGTTTGTGGTGGGTCACAAGTACAGGATGACCGAGACAGATTGTGCTGGTGTGTGTATGGAAGCCAGAATGGAACAAACTACCGACGATGGAGCATGCAAGGCTGAAAGCGAGGAATAGAGTGATGACGATGGCGAAGACGGATGTGGTGAATTCGGATACAGGTTTGGGTGTGAATTAGGACGGTTGGAAATTGAGGAGATAGTTTTGAGAAGTAGGTGGGTGATGCTCGGGTGGAGTGGGCAGCGGCCATGGAAAGAGAAATGAGGAAGGGTTAGGTGGGTAGGCGCAGATCTGGGAGCTGTGAGGGGAGGGAGAGTTGGGTGGGAGTTCTTAATTTTTCAAAATTTAATCTTTTTTAATATCCACGTGGCACTTAGTCATTGTCCATGTGGGCGTCGCGTCATTAGTTAACAGAGATTTTAATAGAAAATTGAACGGATGTATGAAAGTGTCCCAGAATTATGACTTTAGGTACCACTCTAGGACGAAAAAAAACATGATGTACTAAATGTTGAAAACCAAGAAACTTCAAGGTAGTAAACTGAGATTAACCCTTAAATTTACATTTTTTTGGTACTTATGTAAAATTATAATATTTCTAAATCATCCCCTCATTCACTTGTAAGTACTATGACCTAGTGATATTCTTTTTCACTTGTAAGTGAAAGGTTAGGTTCGATTCTTGCTAAAGACAAATTTGAACCATATTATTGCTAATCCATTGTGAGGCTAAGTTCACCTCCTACCGCTTGGTGTAGATACTATTGTTTGTTAAAAAAAAAATTCACCCCCTTCAAAATAGAGAAAAAAGAACTAGCATAACCACTCAGCCCCCTCTTAAAAACCCTTTCTTTTTCTTCTTCTGCCCCTTTTTATTCTTCTCCAAAAAACAGCAAATCCCAGTCCCTACCCATCTCCATCCCAGATGAGCACTATTGGGTGCTCCACCGCATATGAGATTGACAAGTCCACTGAAACTGCGACTCAAAAAAGAACGATGCCATTTTCCAGATTTTCATTCAAGCACCCTCTGAAAACCACCAAGAGGAGGTGGTGGGCTCACCTACAATAAGATGGATCTTGACGACGCCATCCCTTTTTCCCTTTAAAGATTAGGACGAGAAGGAGCGCCAGGGTGCAACCACGGCGTTGGACGGTCAAAGTAGGAATTGAGTTTTGAAGATTTTGAATGTGAGGTCTCTCTACCCATGAGAGAGGAACATCAAGGGCAAAAGTGGCGGCGTTGCAGAGCTTCACGGGAAGATGGAAAAATCGTGGTGGATGATGAAAGAAATGGAAAGGCTGACTCTAAGAAAGAGTTGGGTAGTGGCTGCTACAGTCTTTATCAATTCATTTTGGGAGATTATATTCACACACCCTAAATTACTTCCCTTACACCTTTTTAATTTTTTTTAATATTTTTCTATCAAGTGTTAGTGGTGTGTAGAAACTATTAAAAAATTAAAGGGGTGTGGGAGGAGTAATTTACTACCTTGAAGTTTCGTGGTTTTCAACATTTGGTACATGAAGTTTTTTTCATCTCAGAGTCATACCTTAAGTCTTAATTTTAGGATAGTTTCATACATCCGTTAAATTTTCCATTAGAACTTCTGTTTTAGATGACATGATGCCCACATAGACAATAATTGAGCGCCATGTGTTAATATGGGCCACTTCAATATTAAAAAATTAAAAAAATACAAAAAAAAAAGGAAAAAAAAAAAGGAAAAAAGAAAAAAACCTCACCTGTCTTCTACCACCTCCAACCCCCTACAACCCCCTCTGCAACCTATATGCATCTGCCCAATTCGTCTTTCTGGGAAGCTTTATCGCCAATTTGTCAAAAACCCATCATGAAAAACTGATTGTTTGCGTAGTTTCGAGCATCGAAATGCCTGGTTTTCTCGAGAAAGCTGAAGTCTTGAGAAATTTTCACTGAAGAAGAAGTGGCAGAACCCAAGTGAACCTGCGAGGAAAGATTTGCCTTTCTGAAAGCAACCTTTTTGGTGATGTTTCTCCACATAATTCCCAATAAATACTGCAAACCAATCAATCAAAGTCTTGAGAAATCTTCAACTATCAAACGAAAAATCTTCAACCATCTACATGGCGGTCGGCCATCCATGGTGGAGGAACTTTAGACAAGCTGGGATTTCTTTGTAAATTTAGATCAAAGCCCTACCACAATTTCTTCCCCATTCCCCTTTCTCTCTCAAATCCCTCTCTGCGACCTGCAATCTGTCATCTCCTCTAGCATACTCAAATTATAATTTATAAAACCCTAATTTCTACCCATCTCTCTCTCTCTCCGATGCTCTAGAAGAAAAAAAAAACATAATTTCCATTGGCGAAGAGACGAGAAGAATTGGGGTTGCGGAGGAATCGAAGATCGAAGATGGGGAGGCGTAGATGCATGTCGCAAGAGTGAAGGAAGGAAGGTAGGGTTCCTGCACTTCATATTGCAAGTTGCCCAGAGAGAGAGAGGAGAAAGAGAGATAGTGGTGAAGGAAGGTGGGGGGGGGGGGCCTCACGATGGGGTTTTGGTTTTCTGCTTCTTGTTGCGGGGTTCGCCGGCGACCGAAACGACGGCGTAGCAGACGGAAGGGAGGGGGTTGAGGGAAGTAGAAGACGGGTGAGGTTTTTTTTTTTTTTTTTTGGTTAATTGTGTATTTTTTAAATTTTTTAATATTGAAGTGGGCCCATATTGACACTTGGCACTTAGTTATTGTCCACTTGGGTGCCACATCATCAATTAATAGAAGTTCTAACGGAAAACTTAACGGATATATGAAACTATCCCAAAATTAAGACTTGAGATATGACTATGAAAAAAACTTCATGTACCAAATGTTGAAAATCACGAAACTTCAGGGTAGTAAACTGAGATTAACCCTTTATATTTTTTTTTATTTATCAAATGATAGTGTTATGGAAATGGCTAAAGGTTCAAAAGCCAAAAATTCATCTTATTTGTCCAAAAATCAATCTTCAATCGATGTATGAGCTATAATAGTATGAAGCTTACCAGGTCATTATATAGCCAAAAGGGCATAAGGTTGGCCAAGTGTAGCCCCTCTTAACCTTTTTTGGGGGCTTAGCTTCTCAGTTAGATTTTAAAACATTCAATAGTATTTTAATTAAATTAACTAATAAATTTAAGTATAAACTTAAATCTGATAAATTATTGAGATGATTATATTTAGCCCCCTCAGTTGGAGATAGTATATGAGTATGATCTGACATTGCTTATTGAAAAATATTTTGTTGCAGGGCTATAATTCTACACGGGGATATGTTTAGCTCTTTCGGTTAGAGATGTTCTAAGGGGGTGGAGGAATGAGCTAAGTCTTACAATGGGCTTAGCATGATAAATGTGGTTCAACTTTGTTTTTGGAGAGAATCGAACCTAAGACCTCTTAATTACAAGTGAAGAGAAATACTATTAGACTGTAGTACTAGGTGGTATTTTTTATATTATTTTTAAAATGCTAAGAAAATTTCACTGAAATATAGTAACTTTAATAATGGATACAAATACAATGGTCAATAGGATAACTAAAATTTGTTGGTGTCCAGATATTAAAAATGGGTCTACAACCACAAAAAATTTAAGTTTTATTCCGGACGGCCCATATCCAAAGTCTCCTTCAAAAACCCTTTACTCCGTCTGACACAAAACCCTAGCTTGCCCGCCGGATCCTGCGCGTCGTAGCCAATTTCTGATCCGATGGGTATATCTCTCTCTCTCTCTCTCTCTCTCTCTACCTCTCTCTACATTCAGTTCATATTTTGTATGGAATTCCGGTCCTTATTTTGTTTTCGTGTCCCATATTTCTGAGCAACAAAATGCATGCCAAGGTGTAATCTTTTTTCTTTCGTCTGTTAATATTTGGTTTGTATGATATCCACGAAATTTGTTACAAATGATGTTTTGAATCTTCTACAGTTGCTGATAATGTTCTTTTGTTTAATCGGCAATTCAATTTTATCGAAAACGATGAGTTTGGGGAGTCCAACGTTGGAAAAGATTCTGTAGAAATCGAAGCACATTTGTGTTGTCGTTTGAAATTGTGAGGAGATATTTGATTGAAGAAATGAACTGTTATTAAACATCCGGTTTTGTTTCGGTTTTGGTGACACTAGGGTTTTACAAGTACCAGTCGGAGATATGGAGGAAGAAGCAATCCGATTTGATGAGGTTCGTGCAGAGGGTGCGCTGTTGGGAGTATCGCCAGCATCCTTCAATTGTCCGAGTCACAAGGCCTACACGCCCTGACAAGGCCCGTCGCTTGGGGTACAAGGCTAAGCAGGTAACGAGAATTTCATGAATCGCGTTCTTTATGCAGCTCATCGTTGAATTATGACTAAGGTTAATCGGCATCCCAATCTGTTTACTTGCACATGCATACATTGGCCATGAATTGATTAGTATAGTCGTATTGCAACGCAATACAGGGTTATGCAATGTATAATTACTGTTGTGGATTGTATTCTTTTGTTACTGACCTGTAGGCACAATCCAGTGCATTTGCTAGTTAAACAGCATTCTGATGCTTAGGCATTTTTGCCGAAAAGGGTGCTTGTCTAAAATCATCGAGTGCTTCCTGAGACTAGCTAAACTAAACCAAGCAATCGGTCTTCTACCGAGCAAGATCTTTTGGTGGTTCTTGCTTTGTCTTGGTCCGATACAGTGCACTTTTTTATCTGTATCTTTTAATTCCTTTGCCCCTTGTGCTTCTTTTGTTTCCTTTTGTTATGCACCAGTAGGCCCAACCAGTGTATGAGCTGGTTAAGCAGCATTCTGATGTTTAAGCATTCTTCTTAAAGGGTGCTTGCCTTCAATCATCAAATACTTATTGTGACCAGCTATGCTAAACCAAACAATCGATCATATACCGAGCAAGATCTCTTGGTTGTTCTTGCTTTTGTCCCGATCTGATACAGTGCACTTTTTAATCTGTACCTTACATTTTGTTTTTTACATGTTATATAATGTCTGTCCTTGCGCATCATTTGTTCCGCAGCACTGTTTAAATTAATTAGTCGATGATTTTCTGGCTGATGATGTAAGTAAAATATATTCCAGGGTTATGTTGTTTATCGAGTCCGTGTGAGGCGTGGTGGTCGCAAGAGGCCTGTTTCCAAGGGTATTGTATATGGGAAGCCCACAAACCAAGGTGTGACTCAACTGAAGTTTCAGCGCAGCAAGAGGTCTGTTGCTGAGGAGCGTGCTGGCCGTAGACTAGGCGGTCTTAGGGTTCTCAACTCTTACTGGATCAATGAGGTTTGTGACTCAGTTTTAACTTCAATTCATATATTTGGGTTACAAAACCTGTTTTGTTTCTCTACCATTATTTTTTCAGGTGTGTCTTGGACCTTGGTGTTGGTTTTGTTTATTTCATGGCACCTAGCTTACGTATTCTGCTTTGAAATCCTTGTACGCAGGATTCAACTTACAAGTACTTTGAGGTAATCCTGGTTGATGTTGCCCATAATGCCATCCGAAATGACCCAAGAATCAACTGGCTCTGCAATCCCGTTCACAAGCACAGGGAGCTTCGCGGGCTCACTTCTGCCGGGAAGAAATACAGGGGATTGCGTGGAAAGGGACACCTTTACCACAAGGCACGACCTTCTCGCAGGGCAACTTGGAAGAGTAACACCACCCTCTCCCTCCGTCGCTACCGTTGAGTCCGGTCATATTTTACCATTTATGTCTAGATGCTATTTTTGGGTAATGTCAGGAAGTTTTTTTTGTTACGAAGAGAAGGGCTACCTAAACCCAGGTTTTTCCTTGAGGTTTGAACTTTCGGTACTGAAATCTTGAGATTTCTTCAGCCTTATATAGACTAGGCATAAAAAATCTCAAATGAGCCAAGGGAGACCACGATGTGGCGGCGAGCTTAGCGATTGTGGACGAGTTATTCACCGGAGCACTCCGCCACATAATGTTCTCTCTCGTTGTCTTATCACTCAATTTACACTGGAATTGTTTACTCGTTTAATTATTTGAGTTTTCGTTTCAATTTTGTCTAGCGAATCAATTTTTTTTTTTTTTTTTGCACGTGTTAGAACATAACTAGGGCCTAACATATAGACCGTTTTGATAGTTGAAATTTATCATGAGGTTGCATTGGGAAATAGCATACATATATTGTATAAGGAATGTATGTATGTATGTATATATTTATACTATTGGCCAAAGAAATTGTACCAGAAGAACGTACTCCAAACTTTTAATCGTTATATATTTGTTTAAAAATACGAAAATCAAGATTTGACGGTTAAAAAGCTAAATGTATAATTTTGCGTGCATTAATAGGCTGAAGGTTAGAGATTACAATAAACCTCAAATGATTGGAAACTGACAGGCTTCAAAATAATAATGTATATTTTTGATAGTGATGGAATAGATTAATACAGATCAGCAGAGATACTTGTATTGCCAAGCACGAAATCTTTGTCCCCACAATTTACGGAATAATGTTTTCATTATTTTCTGTTCTTTTTTGGGGTTGACAAAGGATAAATATTGCACTAAACTCATTTATACTATTAGGAGGATGATTAGAAATTGGACATAGAAGATGAGGTACGCTGCCGCAATCAACTTGTTTAAACTTATGTTTTTATAATTTTGTGTTTTATGAGTCGAATATATATATATATATGGTGAAGCTTACATTTTTTTTATTCTAACATATGATAGGATATTCTACAATATAAGAAGGGAGATGCGGATTAGACTACCGAGAGGGAAGCGCATTACTTTAGTCAAATAAATTAAAGTTTAGGAAAAATGCTATGGTGAAGCCTTATGATTTTTACAAAATTTTAAAGATTTTTTAAGCTACAATAATATGCTTCCTATGCCTATATATAAGTGATAACAATTGTAGGTGTTTGATATATGGAATAGATGGCTTCGCGACCTTATTCGAGGAAGGAGAAGAAGCTGTGATGGCTTCACGACCTGCTCGAGGTAAGGTTTGTAGGTAACCTAGAAATCCGGAGAATTCGGATAAAAGGGAGCCGGAGAGGATCCTTTCCCTTGAATATGACATAGTGGATTAATATATTAATATATTAATAATACTGAGATTCATACATTCAACAAATTGATAAGATTCTTATAGAACAAAAGCAGTAGGAAAGAAGACACACGAATCTTTTGTCATTGTTGTGATATGGGCAATGCCTACTTGCATCTCCTTGCTGGTTGCGGTCCTCCCACTCCAACGTTCCTCATATACAAATACAAAAGGGCTTTTCATGCCTACGTACATCCATTCGGTTTGTATATAACTAACGTATTGATTTGGAGCATGTTTGAGATTGCTTTGGATCACAAGCGCTTCCATTAGAAGCAATATTGCTAGAGACATCAAAATTTTGTTAAAAAAAATCAAGTGCTTGAGATTGCTTCTTATCATAAGCATTTTTTTTTAAGTTTTTTGTGAACGTAATAAAAGTTTGCTTACAAAACGGTTTTTACCAATTCCAGGCCAATCCCAAACATATCCCTAGTTTTTTCTATATATGGTTCATGTAATCCAAAGACGATATGAATGACTTAATTGTAAATATGGGACCTCAGAACGTCCACAAACTGTTTGATGAAATGCCTATTAGACAGAATTCGGCATCAGTAGGCCTTGGGACAAGCCCTGGCAGGACACCTTGGCAGGTGATGCTTGGCCTTAGCCTTTGAAGCTGTTAGAAAGATAACAACATGCCCACTAAGAGCTCGACTATATACCTCAACGAAAAAACTGAAAATTTTGGGTGTTGCGCGCACTTGGATCTATTACACTAAGACCCTACAAGGTTAAATTCCTGGATCCACCACTGGTGGCATCTAATTGTAGAAAAATGAGAATGAGATTGAAATATGTTATATTATTCGGGTGGAAACTAGTGGTTCCATTATCATTTAAGGTTAGCTCAAGTTACGAGGGAAGGTGAGTTACTGTGTTAGGATTATGATAGTTTGGTGTTTGATCCCTCTAATGAGTAACCAACAATATGGTTTAGGGTTTTAGTCCGAGACTAAAACCCTAGTGTTCAGATGCATTGTTGTGCATGAGGTTCGATTTTTTTAAATTGTAGAGTTTGATTTCTGGAGATTTGATTCGAGGTCTTGAGGTTGATATCATAATCCAACTATGGGACTCGAGATTCTTAGGCACACATCATAGTCGGTGCCCAAGTATTAAAGTCATGTAGGATATCTTAGCAACATTAGAATAAGATGAATGCTGCTTCTTCTATTCTAACATCCATTCCACTTGACCAAATGTCACTTTAGAGAATAACGGAGTATGGACTTGGTCTTCTTCTTCTAGAGAGAATGGAAGAATTTTGAATATTTCCACACCAAAAATAGCGTCAAGTGTTTGGTCAACTTATACAAGTTGGTCCAACCGTCAAATAAGGCATTCTCTCTTAGAGTGTCACGTAATCAGATTTTCATCATTCATCCAATAAGAAGTTATCGTGTTATTACAAACAAAGTCAAATTAATCAAATTACATAAAGTGCGTATTCGTAAGAATGAATAGAGTAAAAAAAGAAACTCACTGCCCGACCGAAGTTTTCCGCTACGTGCCTTCTTAATTTCGTTAAGCCAGGATTCCAAACTGAACCGCCAATCAACCCATAAAAGCTACAAGAAACCAAAAGCCAAACACAATAGGAAGAAAATTAACGAATACTTAATACCACTTTGTCTAAATTAAGAACCAATTTAACTGACAGTGCAAATTGTCACAGCCTGAGAGAAAAAAAACAGAAAGAGTGGGAATCTACCTCAAAAAACAGTTGGCAAATAACTGCCAACCCAACAGAAGATTCTCAGATTAGTGACAGAAACACAAGACAAACAACTAAATGTTGTAAAATACTGCAACATTTTATAGTTTGAGAAAACCAACAAAACATAACAGCCACTCTGCAAAAATATGAAAAACTCAGACACCCAAATCATTGAAAATGCTTAATGAAGCTTGTTTATGCTGGCATTTGGTAAAAGTTGCCGTCTTTCTTAATATTTGATTAATCAAACACTAATCATGATTAAGAATTCGACAACTAGGCATGCTTGGTAAGCTAATGGGTGCACTGATCACCCACCCATTTGGATTGGGACCCCACCAATGAGATTCCACAGCCTCATCATGGATTCAGTCTAATGATCTCGACCGTTGAACTCAGATATCATGTTTTTTTGTAATGAGATTACTTTCTAGGGTTTTGAAATTGTCAAATGTTGAATTAGGGAGTTGGTCGGTCCCCTCCACAAAGAGAGAAAAAGGAAAGCAGAAAAATAAAGGAGAAAATCCATTAGCAATAGATTAGGTCATTTTGGAATATTTAAAGGACGTCTTGACTCAATCATACAAAGTAAAATAAGAGTTAGAAAACTAAATATGACCAAATATATTTTCGGTGACCAATCTCAAAAAAAAAGAGCTAACATAATCCGGAAAGAATAGCGCACAACAAACCATAGATTAAATTTCTGATACACTACTAATATGACAATAACCGTAAGTATAAGTTAGCCACAAATCGACATAACACGATATATCTGTAAAAAATCACACTTAAGAACTCATATCGTCTGTAACTAGTACATTAAACTCTCCTAGCTATAGCAAAACTACAAAACTCGCCTAAAGCTAGACTACATAACCCAAAGGAAAAAGAACAAAGGTTTATTTATTGAATTAAAAGAAAAAGAAAAGGGGGAAAATAGGGGGAGATTCTAGGGTTTGAGGGGCCATATCCCACAACGGAAAGGAGGTGAGATTGTCAAAAGGAGGGGGTAGGGAAGCTGCCGTCAATGTGGCTTGGTTGTCCAAACTTTTTTTCCTTGGCTCATACGCCTCTCTGTCAGCCTCGCTGGTTTTTTTTATCGGTTGCAGTCAGTGTGTGTGTGTTTGTAGGTGACCCTTTCTGTCCACTCCACACCAAACTTTAGTCTTAAGCACCCTGGCTCTGGCTGTCCTCAAGGGAAAGGGACGGGCTTAAATTCCCCATTTACTTCTCTCTCCACTTTTGGAATTCTTATATATGTATCCACTCTTTGTTGTTGAGATTTGCTTCTCAATAGTATATAAAATGGTTTCTTTAGTTTAACAAGTCTTGTCGCCATGCAAACGTAGGTTAAGCCACTTAGTTGAGACAGAGTGTCAGTCATCTTCTCGTAAATTTGATTAGTTTAGCATTTGGGGTATTAGCGACCACATTTCTCATGATTATAACATATATATGGTACAAATAACAGTCACTCTTCTGAAAAGTAAAGAAACACTCGACATATTAAAAGTATTGAATCTCAAGTTTGCATGTGAACGCTCAAAACCAACTAAGCTATATGGATTGCTGTTGCAATGAAGGATGAATGGTTAGCTTGAAGTTGCCAAAAAAGATGGTCGATGGAAATAGAATGACCAACCTAAATATATTTTGACACTCAAACGCATGCACGTATGATGATGTTCTCTTTTTACCAACGCATTATGCGCCTTGCGTGCAGCCCATGTGAATGAGTTAACCCTAAAAGGTTAGGTTGAAGTTGTCCGTCTACCAACATTTGCAACATCGATTGGAAAGTAACAACTTCATCTTGCTATGTTTCATACGATGCAAAATGATTTTCACACTGTTTTTTTTTATTTTTTATGCACGTTTTGATTTATTTTGGACTTTTCGATCGAACAAAATAAAGAAGAACTAATCAACAAAAATAAACAGTGATGTACAGAAAGAGAAAAATGATGTGCATAAATAATTTTCTGATACAAATAAGTAAAAGAAAATTGTAAATAAAAGGCATGAAACTTGTATTTGTACTCCCATGGCTGTACTTTTGGATACAAGCGTTTTTGGCCGTGCACATGAATTTGAGACAACGATAGAGACCTTACATGCGTTATATGGGGTTAGGTTTTAGCTCCATAGACATTGGTACAACTTAAAATATGTGCTCATCCATCTTAGACAATTACATGTACAATGATGG